GCAACTGAGCAAGCTCCTGTCTCAAAATAAAAAAAAATAAAAAAATAAAAAAACTGGGGATATAGCTCAGTGATAAGGCACCTAGTACCAGGGATGAGGGGGATTTCAATTTCCAACTGTTCATTTCTAATAGACGAAGCCACAACTCATCCTGATGAATTAAATTTACTGTTAGTTTTAGTAGCATTTTTAGAGATTCCTTAAATTTTTCAGAGATGATCACATCTGTCTGAAATCACTAGGTTTCTTTTATTTTTTTTCAGTTGATATGTCTTTTATTTCTTTTTTTACTTTACTGTATTGGTTAGACCCTCAATGTGGAAGAAGAGTGGTTTGTATGGATACTTTCCTTGTTCCAAATTCTAAGAGGAAAGTAAACAGTCTCTTATCATTGAGTGTAGTATGAGTTAAGATTTGGTAGATGTTCTTTATCAGACTGAGGAAGTTTTATTCTTTTCCTGATGCAGAAAGATTTTATCATGAAAGAATACTGGTTTCTATCAAATATTTCTTCTGCATAAATTGAGAACATAATCTGTTTTTTTCTGTTAATACAATGACTTACACCAATGAATTTCCAAATGTTAAAGCAACCTTGTATATCTGGGATAAAACTCAGTTAAGATATATTATCCTTTTGTTATCTACTGTTGGACTTGATTTGTTAACATTTTATTAAAAATTTCTATATCTGTAGAGCATGGAGGATTTTTTTAGGGCAGTGGAAATATTCTTTGTGATGCTATTAATGGTAGATGTATGCCATTATACATTTGTCTAAACCCACAGAGTGTATACGTTCAACAAGTGAACCCTAACAAAACTACAGACTGGATAATTATGATGTGTCAATGTAAATTCATCAACTATAACAAATATACTACTGTGACAGGGGAGAAAAATAATTGATGGGGCTGTGCAAGTATGGGGACAGTAGCATATGAGAAATCTCTGTAGCTTCCACTCAGTTTTGCTATGAACTCAAAACTGCTCCAGAAAATTAATTTTTTTTTTTTTTAAAGATAGGTCTCACTAAGTTGCTTAAGAGCCTCACAAAATGCTGAGGCTGAATTTAAACTTGTGGTTCCCCCTGCCTCATGCTCCACAGCTGCTGGCATTACAGGCATGTGCCATTGCACCCAGCTAGGAAAAAAAGGCTTAAGAAAGAAAGAAAGAAAAAAAATTATGCAACTGTGTTCATGAGAGATATTGTTTTTATCTGGTTTTTATGATCATATCTCTTAATATCTACTAATGTCTGTAGTATCTGTAGAGCTATGTATCTCTCACATTAAGTTCTCCTTTGCTGCCCTTTGGTCTGGAAACTCTCCAGGTCATAAACTGCAGCAATCACAGGGCTCAACTTGTTTTCCCCCCTTCTTTTATGATCAATGCCTTTTGCTGCCAACAACTGCTTCATATGTTTTGTCATATTTTTTAGTGGCTTATAGTGAGAGGGTAAATATCATGCTCCCTGTTATTTCAGCATGACCAAGAATGGAAGCTTTATCTTTTTTTTAAATATTTATTTTTTAGTTGTAGCGGTCAATACTTTTTTTATGTGGTGCTGAGGATTGAATCCAGGGCCTCATACGYGCTAGTCGAGCACTCTATCACTGAGCCATAACCCCAGCCCCAAGCTTTATCTTTTTACTATGAAAAATTTCAAACATATAAATGTAGATAATAGTATAATAAACCTTCATGTACTTAGCATTTAGTTTCTACAATTCTCAATCCATGACCAATACTTCTTTCCTACATGAACCCCCTCTCTAGACTGTTTTAAGTGATCTCATATATCTTCCAATTTCTCTTATAAATATTACAGCAATGTATGTCTAGAAGATAAACTTTTTAAAACTCCACAACCATAATACCATTATCAAACTTAAAACACCATCAATAATTTTAGCATCAAACACTGAGTCAGTATTCATATTCTTCTGAATTGTTTTTATGGTTGATCTATTCAACTCTAGATTAAAATTAGGTCCACACATTACTTTTAGTTAACTTTGGGTTAACATGGTTTTTAAGTCCTCTTAAACTTAGTTTACTTTTGTCCTTGAAACTTATTTTAGAAACTGCACTGTTCAATAAAATAGGCATCAAAAAGCACTTAAAATGTAACTAATGTTATACTGAGGAGTTGAATTTAAAAATTTTAATTTAAATTAGCAACTGACATTTGTTCCAGCTATCAGACATGTTTAGAGCAACTTGGGTGTAAAAACCAACTTTTGCAATTGTTAAGTTTTATTAAATACAAATTCAGATAAAATATATATATATATTTTTTTTTTAAAGAGAGAGTGAGAGACAGAGGGGGACAGAGAGACAGAGAGAATTTTAACATTTATTTATTTTTTCTTAGTTCTCGGCGGACACTACTTTTTTGTATGTGGTGCTGAGGATCGAACCCGGGCCGCACGCACRCCAGGCAAGCGCGAGCTACCGCTTGAGCCACATCCCCAGCCCAAGATAAAATATTTTTGATAAAAATTATCATCTGACTTGAGATGTATTAAGCATAAAATCAATTATTTTGAAGACTTAGTATGACAAGGAGATATAGAACAGGTAATTAATAAATTTTCTATAAAGCCAAATATACTTTTATAACTAATTTAATCTATTTCTTTTTACTTTCTAAAATTTGGCCATTAGAAAGAGTATAATTACACATAACATCTTACATTGTATTTCTATTATAAAGTTTTTTTTAAGCTTCAGGAGTTTTTTTTTTTAAACTTTATTTGTTTTTATTTTTATGTGGTGCTGAGGATCAAACCCAGCACCTCACATGTACTAGGCAAGCGCTCTACCTGAGCTACAGCCTCAGCCCCTAATAAAAAGCATTTAAGTAAACCATTTGTCCTATGGGGTCCTCTATATTTTGGACTTTGCTATTTTGCATTGTGTCATTTAATGTATTTCTTGCTTCTTACAGTTCCTGAAAACTGGGAATTTTAGATCAGTGGTTCTCTACTGAGGGGCAATTTTACTACCCAGAGTAAATCTGGCAATGTCTTGAGACATTTTTGATTATCACTACTAATGTGTGTATTACTACTATCACCTGGTTGGCAGAAGCCAGAGTGCTGCTAAACATTCTATAATGCATAAGAAAACCTCTCACAAAAAGAATTATTCAGTTCAAAATGCCAATAGTGCTAAGGCTGAGAAACCCTGCTATCAGGGATTATGAAGACTGGAATTTGATTATTTCACAAGATTACTCTCTAGGAGACAGCATACCCTTTTATCAGTATATAAAATATGTGGCTTTTTGAGTATTATCTAATGTGACATACTGATTCATTAGCAGCTGCAAAGTGGTGATATACTAATCCTGTAATTCCTTTTTCATTCATCAGTTAGAATATTTTTGTAAAGCAAAATTCCTCTCTCATTTATTTATCAAAAACAATAGTTTACATAAGAAATGTAGGATAAATGCTTAAATTCTCTTTATCATTTTTCAAAATAATAAGTTGGTTGCCTAAATATCACACAAAGTGACCAATACTATTTTTTCAGTATCATGAATTTGTGGATTTAGACATTTGTGTTTTCATGTAGGACCCCTTCATTAGGGATCAATAGGAGAGTCTTCATGTAGGTTACTGAGATCTGTTAATAATCAAGTTGTCTTTTATTACTTTCTTACTTTCCCATGTGACAAGATGATCTAGGGTTACTTTATATATATTTTTCCTGGGCCTGGAAATCAGAATCAGTCACTTCTCCAATGAGTCATTTTAGTAGAAAATAATATTTAGAGGTCATAATCTAAGTCATTTCAGTAAACAGAGTGAAGAAATTATTTTTCCTTTTTTTCAGAAAAAATACATTATAGCCTTTTTTAATATTTCCAATTCAAATAAACACCTTTCAAGTTTTTATTACTTCATCTTCTTTATTTTACATCTAATATAAAATTCTATGCTGAAAATTCTAATGACATTAACATAATACTTATTTGCTTTACCCTATAACATTTTCAAGATAATGTTCCAAATACTGTTATTAAATATATATATATATATATATATATATATATATATATATATATACCCTGAAAACATTTTTAAAAATTTTTTTTCTTTTTCTTTTTCTTTAGGTCAAAGTGATTTGTAATAATTTTTCTGTGATGCTATACTGCTAACTCAAAGTTAGATACAACTGTTTCATTTTGCTTCTACTAAATCTGCCTCTCAATTTTTTTTGTTTATTTTACTGGAAGACAGTCCAAAGGAGAAAAAAATAAAATAAAATCTGTTTACATGAATGTAGCTTTTTAAATTTTTTTTTAAATAAATGACAGTGGAATGCATTACAATTCTTATTACACGTATACAGCACAAATTTTCATATCTTTGATTGTATATAAAGTATGTTGACACCAATTCATGTCTTCATACATGTACTCTGGATAATGATATCTATCACACTCTACCATCCTTGCTAATCCCTTGCCCACTCCTTTTCCCTCTCATCCCTCTGCCCTAAATAGAATTCATCTGTAGCTTTTAACCTCACTTTTTCCTACTCCTGAACAATTACAAAGAAAATGTTCTAGTTTATTATTATAATTTTTAAATAAGTAAAATATGATCTTCTGACCCTTTCTTGAAAAGTGAGGCCAGAAGATCATATTTTACTTATTTAAAAATTATATAATAATAAACTAGAACTACCATCTTGTTGCCAGATCTTCTTTGGGTTGAAGTTAATGTACTGTGTCACATTTTCTTCCCTATGCACACTATTTCAGTATTTATCATTTCACAGCCAGATATTAACAGAAGATTAAATTGCTGAGGTTATACAGCCTTTAAGTCTTTAAAGTATTACTTTCTCAATTGGCAGGATGTATTAAATTTATAAATTAAATAGCATAAATATCATCATACTGCAAGTAATAACATATGATAACGCTTTTAAACTAGTCAGAGACTGGAATCTCAAAATATAAAATAAAGGTAAAAACATACCTCTGTGATGCGTAGTTGTGATGACGCAGCCATATAATCTGATTCTAATTTGTTCTTTTCTGAAATTACGGTAGTATTCTGAAGAATTAAGTCTACTTTTTCTATGTGCAAAGTAGTACAAATCTAGGGACAAAAATCCTTGAGTTTAGTTCTTTTCCTAAGGGTATTGTTTTTATGTTATCTATGCTTTAGAAGTATGAAAATGCCAAACTTTATTTTTTAAAATGAAAATATAAATCATAAGAACAAACAAAAAACAACATTTTTTTAGCCATGTGTGGTAGCCCACACCTGTAATCCCACTGGCTCTGGAGGCTGAGGCAGAAGGATCTCAAGTTCAAAGTTAGTCTCAGCAACTTAGCAAGGCCTTAAGAAACTTAGTGGGACCCTGTCTCAAAAAATAAGAAAAAGGGCTGATGAAAATCTAATTTAAATTAAGCTAATTTAGTTAAATTACTAATACTTAAGTTTTTGCTTAAGACCTTACCTCCAATAAAGCACTCTGAAGTTTTACTATCTTTTTTTTTTTTTAACCAGTTATTATCATTATTATTTTGCACCCAGGATTGAACCAGGGGTGTTTAACCATTGAGACACAACCCTAGTCCCTTTTTATATTTTGTTTAAAGACAGGCTCTCATTAAGTTGCTTAGGGCCTCACTAAAGCTGCTGAGGCTGGTTTTGAACTCACAATCCTTCTACCCCAACCTCCCAAATGACTGGGATTACAGGCATGTGCCACCACACCAAACTCCATCATTTATTTTAAAAATTATTCAAAATTAAGAAAATGACTTACCTTTACTAGGTTTGTTAATTCAGTAACAAGTTTTGCTTTCTGAATGTTTATTTCTTTGATTTTGGTAGTTGCTTTTCGCTCTTCCTCTTCAAGGTTACAAGTATCCTGTTCCATCAGTTTTAAACTGTATGACACATATGATGATGTAGAAATCAAAAGTTAAACAAAAGGAATGAACCAAAGCCTTAAGTCTCCTGCAATTTTCTGTGCTATATTTAGCAATCCAATTCAAAAGTATAAACTGCTAGCTCCTAGATTAAATAGTTTTATGCAATCAAATCAAAAAGTATTTGTTGAGATAAATTATTCTTTACCAGGATAGTCTGATAATACTAATGGTATGGTAAAGGATCTGGAGCCAGATACGTGGCTACAAATGTCCTTTGTGCCACTCATCCATGCAGAGTGGAAACCTGGACAAGTTACTCTTATGAGTTTCAGTTTTGTCATCTGTAAATTGCAGATAATACTAGTATTTTCCTTACAGGAATATGAAGATTAAAAAAGGTCAACACTCGACATATTTAATATAGTGTCTGGCCCATAACTGACTAAAGAGTAGAAGCTGTTACTGTTGTTATTAATACTATTTATGAAACACAGTCCTTTCCCTTAAGGAGCTTACATCGAGAGAACTGATCAGTAGGTAAAAAACAGAATTAAAAAAAAAAAGACAATAACAATCTAAAAAGTTAAAATCATACTTTTTTAAAGATGAAGAAACTAAGGCTCAGAAAATTTAAATTACCTGAAATCACAGATATTAAGTTGTAAGATGTATTTAACATCAAAATTCATGCTCTTTGCATTATACCATGCTACCCACAAAGAAAAAGAAGAAAGGATAGAAGCAATAATAAATAAGAATGAACAAGTTCAGTGGGTGTTGCAGAGTGGCTTAAATGGTACAAGTTAAGAGTATGTTGGGATGGACATTCTGGTTGTTTTATTTATTTATTTTTTCAATATAGAGAGGGGACTAGTCAGGGAGAGACTACTAACCAGGTCATCCCTGTATATCCCAAAATAAATAAAGGTAGGAACCCAAAAAGTCACTTCATTGCCTCCTACTCCCCAAATCCAACATTATCTTATAAGGAGAAAATTTAGTTTCAGATAATGAATCTACTACAGTAGTCACACAGTAAAGATTAAGTATATTGCAAATGACCAAACAGAAGTGAAGAGCTAAAAGTTAAAAAACAAAGAGGTTTAAAGTTGAAAAATGTTCTAAGAAGCTGGACTACATAGATGTATCTTACTTAAAACAACCAAGGCATATTACCTTTTAGTGTGTGCCAGGAAATGATGAATCCAGGGGCACTTAAACACTGAGCCCCCATCCCCATCCCTTTTTTCTATTTTATTTAGATACCGGGTCTCACCGAGTTGCTTAGGGCTTCACTAAGTTGTTGAGGCTGGCTTTGAACTTATAATCTTCCTGCCTGAGCATCCCAAGCTACTGGTATTATAGGTGTGTGTCACCATGCCCAGCAACATTCTGGGTTTTTAATTCCTAATACAGTAAAGATCAATAATATAATCCATATAAATAAAATTTATTCAGGGGCCTCATTAATTTTAACCATGTAAATGGGTTTAGGGACTGGAACAGAAAAATTCACAGCATTTAAGATTCACCTCCCTTTCCCCTATGGACAAAAACTGTGTTTGACAAATGCCAAATGTCATCTTTGATATAAGGAGAGCAACTAAGAACAGAATAGGGAGGAAGGGCATGAGAAGAAGATCACCATTAAACAGGGTCGAGAGGGGGATGGGAAAGAGAGAGAGAGGAGAAATTGCATGGTAAAGAAAGGAGACCCTCATTGTTATACAAAATTACATATAAGAGGAAGTGAGGGGAAAGGGGGAAAAAAAAAAAACAAGAGAGAGAAATGAATTACAGTAGATGGGGTAGAGAGAGAAGATGGGAGGAGAGGGGAGGGGAGGGGAGGGGGGATAGTAGAGGATAGGAAGGGAAGCAGAATACAACATATACTAGTATGGCAGTATGTAAAAAAGTGGATGTGGAACCGATGTGAATCTGCAATATGTATACGGGGTAAAAATGGGAGTTCATAATCTGCTTGAATCAAATGTAAGGAATATGATATGTCAAGAGCTTTGTAATGTTTTGAACAACTAATAATAAAAAAAGTAAAAAAAAAATTGTGTTTAAGCAATAAGAAAAAATTTCAGAGAGAAATTACTATAAAATGTGCTTGTGGCAATGTGGTGGTGTTGCAGGGGTTTTGTTTGTGGTACTGGGGACTGAATCCAAGTATAGTCTAACACTGAGCTAAATTCTCAACCCCCCCTTTTTTATAGTGAGATACGGTTTTTCCTAAGTTGCCCAGAACACACTGAAGTTGTGATCCTCTTGTCTCAGCCTCTTGAGAAGCTGGGATCACAGATGTGCGTTACCATGCCTGGACACAGGGTTTATTTAGTAGTTTCCCATGCAGTGCTTGGGACTCCCATCATTCCCTGTAAAAGGCCAAAAGATACCTTCCTAGTTTGGAACTAATTTTTTGTTCCAGTTGTCTCTTTTTTGTTTTTCTTTCAAGAAGCTCCTTCTTCTTTTGTCTCAGTTCATTGTCTTTGTGTTCTAGATGCCTGTTTGTCTCAAGTAAGGCATTTAATCCTAAATCCACAGCGTGTAATTTCCTTTTAATTTCCTAGGGAATATTGAAAATTGTCAACATATTTTTAAAAGTTCGAGTTAAAGCATTAGAAAACCAGTTAATATTCTTTTCTAACCATTAAATCCAATTAACCAACCTTTAGCTGTTCTTCCAAGTGTCTTCTTTGTTCTAGATCCACTGTGACTGTGAGAAACTGGGCTACTTTCAGGGATGTGTTACTAGAAATAACTTTGTTTGAATAAAAAGAAGTTTTCACCACATACTTTTCTTCTGCTGTATAAATTTGTTTTAATCGAGTTTCTTGTATTACCTATAATGTTAAACAAGAATTCATGAGCATCTAATAGAAAGACATGTTTTAAAGGACTAAAGAATTAAAACCATATATTAAGTAAATTCTGGAAGATCAAAACACACTAGGTATACTTTCTTCTTCTTTTTTTCCCCCTTATCCTATCCAATAACATCTCTAAAAGGGTGAATAATACAACTTAGGTTATTATTTTGAAAAACCAAATGAGGGAAGAGTGAGGAAAAAATTGAACTAGCAAAGTCAGCTATACTTCCACTCTCTCCCAATTATACATTTGGAGCTTTATTACACTAAAGAATAGACCAGAGGAATTAGGTGCCCAGTATATTATACTGTTATTTTGATTAAGTAATTTATTATGTCCTCCCTTGGCTGTATTGTTCAAAGACATATAATCTTTTATTTTCACCTTTTTTGAGGTCTTTTCTCTCAAGAACTTACACAAGGAGGTTCATAAGCATAACCATTCTGCCCATAAAAACATTATTAGATACTTGATTATTTTCTTCCCTGAGTGATATTGGCAATAGTTAGGAAATTATAGGATTATAATTATATTATAATATTTATCAAGAGTAGGCTGCTATGATGGATTTTCACCCAAATCTTTAAAGGTTAATAACAATGCTATTATGGCTTATTTCCTTCTAAAAATTTATAATTTAAGTGAACAGATAAGACACATTTAAGTACACTTAGTTAACAGGGTTATAAACTGTCATCCTAAATTCTAAATTTGTAATAAGGTACAACAGACCAGGTGAGATTAGCCTTTGCAAGTTTCATGAAAATGAGTTTTAACTGGGATTTTAACTGACAGAGATAACGAGAGGAGGGCATTCCTAGAAAAAGGACATTCAAACTAAAAAAGTGAGTAGACTTCTAAGATTAACCAAAGAGGTGAATCTTAGAAATTAGTGGGAGAACAATCCCATAAACAGTGTATAATCACTGTTAGAGAACTTAATATATTTAAGACTTGACAATAAAACATACACTAAAGAATATATTTTTATTCTAAGGAAGAAATATAGCTATTATTGCCATTACCTAAAAATGAAACAAAAAGAAAATTTATTCAAGGAAGAAATACAGCCATTATAACCATTTCTAGACATGAAACAAACAGAAGAACTGAGGTACAAAATTTCTCAATAAAAGTTTGTATATTGTGAAAGACAGCCAAGATAATATCATAGCTTTACCAGGTACCTGAAGCACTTCCTAACATGGATTAATTGTACATATACATGTCTAAAAATTTGCTGAGGGCCATTACCAAGTAGGTATGACGCATCGTAATCCTTGCCAGTGTACCCCATGTTAAATGGACTTGCCTTGGAAATTTGCTGCGACCTTGCTTGTGTGTTTGAGAAAGGTGACCCTGCTCAATCACTAGGGTGGATCCAGGATTAGGGTGTATTCCTGCAGGAAGTATCTCCATCCTTGGGTTTAGGGCGTGACAATAGGAGTTTTAAGGAAGTTGAAGTTGAAGATTATTGATGCTGGGATTAGGGTGTTCCTGCTGCTTGTTCCCGTTGAGTTCTCGTGAGATTAAAATGGGATTTGGAAAAAGCCTCGTGGAGTAAGATTGGGGATCGGACAGATTGGAATTGCCCCTGAACGTGTGTGGAGGCTGGTGTGAGATCGGGAATAAAGAATTGCTGTTTGAATCTACAAAGCTATGTGGTGCCTCCTGATTCTGGTGCCCCCCAAGACATCGGCAAAAATTATCTCATCATAATTTAAATTATTTTTACACAACACAGCACAAGGCTGGGCATTGAGACAATCAAGTATAAGAAACATTCAATATAATCAAGAATTTAAAAAATATTATTACTTATATAAATACCAAACAGATTAAGGTGAATGAAAAATATCTGAAAAGAAAGGGTAAGAGAAGAAATAATTTTGTTTTAATGTGAGTTACAGGAATTGAATACTGTGACTTAAACAAAAGGTGGGGCTGGGAAGGATGGTAGAATAAGACAGACATTATTACCCTATATGCATGTATGTATGATTACACTACTGGAGTGACTCAGCACCATGTATAGCCAAAGGACTAAGAACTTATGCTCCATTTGTATACAATATGTCAAAATGCATTCTAATGTCATGTATAACTAATTAGAACAACAACAAAAAGAATAAACCAGGAACTATGTAAAAAAAAAAAAGGTGAATCTTTTGAAGCATCATTCAAAAGATTTTCCAAATGCAATCATTGCTCCTTTCTGCCGCAAAGTAAAGCTATGAAAGTCTATTGTCTTTCCCCATCAATAAAGAATTACTACTTCTACCCTTACTTCAAGATAGCTCTACCTATTCTTGGAGTTATGACATAAATTCGTTTCATCTACATAGATGGTATTGTTCTCTTTTCTAAATTTCACTGACTTAAGACACAAGAGAGGTACCCCCATATAAAGATTTCTAAATTTTTATTTTCCAAGTGATCCTACAAATATGTCATTTTAACCAAAGATACAGGCAATTTGGTATAAGCACTCTTTTTTTGCGAAATGAGTTGATAAGGGCCCTTTTCTTTTTTCCTTCTTTTTGTTTTTGTGGTCCTGAGGACTGAATTCAGAGCTTTATGTATCCTAGGTAATAATTCTACCACTGAGCAACATCCCAGCCCTGTTCTTTATTTTATTTTTAGACAATGTTTCAGTAAGTTGCCCAGGCTGGCCTTGAATTTGTAATCTGCCTGCCTCACCCCCACCCCCAAGCAATCCTGGTATTACAGGAATGCATCACTGCACCCATCTAAGGATTCTCATTTCTTTCTTTTTAACTTTTTTCCAGGGCCCTCACTTCTTTTTTTTATATACATTTTATTTATTCTTTTTAGTTATACATGACAGTAGAATGTATTTTGACATAAAAGAAGTATAATATCCCATTCTTGTGGGTTGTACATGATATGAAGTTACACTAGTTATGTATTCATATATGACAAAGGTAAGTTATGTCCGAATTCATTCTATTGTTTTTCCCTTTCCCACTCCCCTTCTTTCCCCCCACTTCCCCTACCCAATTTGGTGAACTTCCACTCCTCCCTCCCCACCACCTATTTTGAGTCAGCATCCACATAACAGAGAGAAATTTGGCCTTTGGTTTTTAGGGACTGTCTTATTTCGTTTAGCATGATAGTCTCCAGTTTCATTTATACACTGGCAAATGCCATAATTCCATTCTTCTTTATGGTCAAGTAGTATTCCATTGTGTATATGTACCACATTTTCTTTATCCATTTATCTACTGAAAGGCACCTAGGTTCGTTCCATAGTTTAGATATTGTGAACTGAGCTGCTATAACATTGATGTGACCATTTCACCATACTATACTGATTTTAAGTCCTTTAGGCATATGCCAAGGAGTGAGATAACTGGGCCAAATGGTGATTCCATTCCATGTTTTCTGAAGAATCTCCAACAGTGCCTTCCATAGTGATAGTGGTTGCACTGATTTGCAGTCCTCCTAGCAATGTATGAGTATACCTTTTCCAAAATCCTCACCAACATTTATTATTACTTATATTCTTGATAATTGCCATTCTGACTGGAGTGAGATGAAATCTCAGTGTAGTTTTAATTTGCATTTCTCTAATTGCTAGTGATGTTGAACATTTTTTTTCATATATTTGTTGAGTATCATATTTCTTCTTCTGTGAAGTGTCTGTTCAATCCCTCACTTCTATCTTCTATTAGTGAAGTATACAGAGCCCCAAATGAATGATTACCCATCATGAATAATCTGAAGAATACTTCTATACTGACTGTTATAAAATGAACTCAGTATTATAAATAGCAATTAGGTTCCCAGAAGTTTATATACTGTATTAATATGGCAACATGGTGGTACAAAAAAACCTGTTCCCCAAGCCTCTTTTCTTTTGAGACAGGGTCTTACTAAATTACTTAGGACCTTGCTAAATTGTTAAGGCTAGTCTTGAGTTTGTGATCCTCCTGTCTCAGCCTCCCAAGTCACTGGAATTAGAGGTGTGTGCCACTGTGCTTGGTCTTGCTTTATTTTAAACTAAGAAGTTTCAATGAAACTATGTTTCAGTAACAATTCAATACTTTTCTTACCCGTTCAATTCTTTCCCTGGTTCTTTCAGTTCCCACAGGAACTTCATGAATATGATACTGGCAACAAAGGTAACTCATTACAGGATCAGGTGCATCAAATAACTCTCGCAAATAGGAGAAAAATCCATATTGTCTGAAAGGAAAAGTACTGATGTTTTCAAAAGAACATTTAAAAATTGATTGTTAAAACTACAAATTATTTCAACAATGGAATAGGAATTCCTTTTTTTAAAAACATTTTAAAACCACTTAGTATTATTTACTTCCTTGTCAGAGAAGTTTAAGTTTATTAGAAACAAAGTATTCTTTTGTTGTTTCTTCTATTGTTCTTACATTTAGAATGTCAACTTATATCCAGAGTTAAGATATTCACTTATAATTGTTCATCACTGCAATATTTACATTTAGTCCTTCTGGAAATTATTTCTGTATTATTTACCATTTAATTTTCCCAATACCTAACCAACTCTTATCTTGCATCTTTAATAAAAGATATTTAGCATTTTCCATTAAACAGTCCAGTATTATTCCACTGATTTAAATTATCACCTTCATCACACACTATGCCACATGATATATTCCTGGGCCTAACTTCTTCTATATTTTAGACTTCAGTAGATATTCTACAAGAGAATAGTACAGCTTACATCAAACATATTATGTGACAAGGAGATAATCAAAATATATTTAAGATTATTCAATATTCAAATCAGTTGTAACAATATTTTCACAACTTACTTTAGTTCATTCAGAGACCTTGAAGGTGCTTTGTCTGCATATGAACTCTTGGGAGCAATAACAGCATTTACTCTTAACTTTTTATTGTCACGAACCTGGATATAGGGAAAAGAAAGTATTATCTTAATTATCATGTATTCTCAATTGAAATGATTTTTCAAGTTGCTATATTGCTACTGTCATTCATGGGATAATCAGGAAAAAAGCAGAACACTGGATGTTTGATGATACTTAGATAGCATTGCTTGTGTTAATGGCAGGTTACAAAGTATTGGGCTAACCTTTCTACAAATAATTACTACAAATTCTGAACTAGATTTTAAAAACAATCATATGGCCAGCTCAGTGGCACTTGTAATCCTAGCAGCTCAGAAGGCTGAGACAGGAGTATCGTGAGTTCAAAGCCAGCTTCAGCAAAAGTGAGGCACTAAGCAAAGCAGTGAGAGCTTGTCTCTAAATAATATACAAAATAGGGCTGGGGGTGTGGCTCAGTGGTCAAGTGCCCTGAGTTCAATCCCCAGTTCCCCCTCAAAAACAAATCATATGAAGACATTGGAAAAACAGAGGCTGGAGGAAAGTTGATACTCAGAAGAGAAGAAAAGTACTGAAATTTGTGCTTATGTGGTTTCAGGGTAATCCCCAATCTGGAGCACAGGAATGGGAATAAAATTCAGGTAGAAAGCTGTAGTTTTGTTGCTGTAGGAATCATAGGATGGAGTTTTGGGGTAACTAGAATGGCTACAAATTCTTAGAAGGAGAGTGTTGCAAAGAAAGAAGGTTCAAAATCTGCATATAAACTCCTGTTTAAATCCTTGATTGACCCTTAAACTATAAAGGGATGAAAAATTCCAGGGGGCTGGAATAAAGCAACAAGTGGAAGGCTGAAAAAACTGCATGTTGATTTCAATTGCTGCCCAYTGCATGAGATAAGAGTTTAGAGTTCAACTAAGTTAATTGTCTGTTAATCTCTTTAGAATAAGACAGATGTATCCAGTCTTTACATTATCTATGCGGTAATTTTTTATTGTATACTAAATGCCACCATAGTCAAGAAAACAAATAGTGAAGAGAAAATGACCTCAGAAGAACTCAAATATTGGAATTGGAAGGTAAGAACTTTATTTTTATTACGTGTGTGTATATAAATTCAAATAACTATTTCTCCTCCCATAATCTTAAGATTTCATTTTATATATACATAGATACATATATGACTATTTTAGTATTTTTCAAAATAAAACACACAAACATATAATCCTGTACTTATTACTCTTTGACAATATGTTCACTTGATTATTTAACTTTCTGGAAATAAATTCAAATAACTAGTTCTCCTYCCATAATCTTTTTTTAAAAAAATATTTATTTTTTAGCTTTAGGTGGACAAAATATCTTTATTTTATTTTTATGTGGTGCTGAAGATCGAACCCAGTGCCTCACATATGCCAGGCGAGTGCACTACTACTTGAGCCATATCCCCAGCCTCTTCCCATAATCTTAAGATTTCATTTTTCTGATACTAGCAATGCTCCTGTTCTAATTCTACATTACTGGGAAATTTCTTCCTACTGACTACAGAGTTGAATACTCGATTCTCAATTCATGCTTGTTTCAATCTGATTTCAAAATCCTAACAGTTGATGAGAGAAACTTGGAAATAAAGAAAATAACATTGTCTCCCCCCCCTTTATTTATTTATTTATTTTTGAGAGAGAGAGAGAGAGAGAGAGAGAGAGAGAGAGAGAGAGAGAGAGAATTTTTAATATTTATTTTTTAGTTTTTCGGTGGACACATCTTTATTTTATTTTTATGTGGTGCTGAGGATCGAACCCAGCCTCCCGTGCATGTCAGGYGAGCCTGCTACCGCTTGAGCCACATCCCCAGCCCCAACATTGTCTTATAAGTTCAACTAGTAAAATTCACTCACAATGAATATAATAACATTTCAGTGAGGGTTTTCTAGGAAGCTTCCTGATATGTTTACTGGACTATTTTACTGGACTATTTTTGAATTCCTGAAAACCAATAAAGAAAGGTAAGCTTAACATAATGTTCAAGAGACAAAATTGGACAATGATTTTTATTTAGTAAATTATAAAAAAGTCAAATTCTATTTTGATTCAGTATACACAGAAAAGGAGAAAGATAAAAAATTACAAATGGTAATGTAGGCTATGATAGATGGTAAAGAGAAGAACAGACAAAATCATATCATATAAATGCTAAAAAATGGAAGCCAATATAGTTTTACAAATACCAGACAAAGGAGACTTAAATGAAGAAATGTTATGAGGGGGAAATGTTATAGTTTTCTCACTAAATGTGCATGTACCTAATAACATAGCTTCAAAATGCATCCAAAGAGTGACTGAACTAAAAGCAACACAGATAAAGTTCAAATCATAAAAGGAGATTTTCACATACTTCTCTCAGTAGTTGATTAAGCAAATGGAAAACTGGAAAACTATCAGTAAGTTTATGGAAGATTTTAATTACTAACATTTGAATATGTGCTTATGGTTATATATCTGTATAGGAGTGTGTGTGTGTGTGTGTGTGTATAATTCTAAAAATATCAAAATGCATATATGAAGTACACAGGCTTACCAAAATTATTCATATTCTGGGTCATAATATAAATCTAAACAATTTTCAAAATTATTCATGTTTTTTCTTTTTTTTATTTGTTCTTATTGATGCTTTACAATTGTACATTAATAATGGGTTTTTCACTGTTTTATACTCACACTTGCACACAACATAACTTGGCCAATTTCATTCCCCACTACACAACCCCTGGTCTTCTAATCTACATGAGAGAAAACATATGGCCCTTGACTTTCTGAGTCTGGCTTATTTTGCTTAACATAATGATCTAGAGTTCTGCCCATTTTCCTACAAATGACATAATTTCATTCTTGATAGCAAAGTCCACTATGAGTATTTTCTTTATCTGTTCATTGATGGACGCTTAGGTTGATTCCATGTTGTGGCCATCATGAACTGTGCCGTTATAAACACGGGTATGCATTTATTGCTGTATCACGCTGACTTTAATCCATTTGAATACCAAGGAGGTGGTATAGCTGGGTAATACGGTGGTACCATTCCTAGACTTTTAAGGAACCTCCATACTAATTTCCATAGCAGTTATACTTATTTACAATGCTATCAACAGTGTATAAATGTTCTCCCCATGCCCACGTCCTCACCAGCATTACTATTATCTGTATTCTTGACGCAGGTAAAAACTTTAAAGCAGGTATGATATAAGAAAACTATCATCATAATGAATGAACAGAGACCTTTAGCAGACAAAGAAATAAAAAAAACACTCTTGTAAAATCATTTTTATGCCATACTCTCACTGCAAAACCTGACAAAAAAGACTATAAATTATTATCACTCATAAATACAAATGCAAAAATATTTTTCATAGGGGCTGGGGATGTGGCTTAAGTGGTAGCGCGCTCGCCTGGCATGCGTGTGGCCCAGGGTTCGATCCTCAGCACCACATACCAACAAAGATGTTGTGTCCACAGAAAACTAAAAACTGAAAAAAAAAAGGGTTGAGCCTGGCTGGTGTAGCTTTCTCCCGTGACCCGTTAGGTGACGTGGCAGCATAAATACTGCTCCAAGAAACTGATTAAAAAAAAAAATATATATATATATATATATATTTTTTTTTTCATAGACAGAATTCAGCAATATATGGTTACATGACCATGCAGAGTTAATTCCAGGAATGTCAGAATAACACAACACTCTAAAATCTACCAATCCAATCTATCATATTATTAGAATAAGTACAAAAGCCATATGATCATCTCAGTAGATACAGTTTATAAAGCAACTATTAGAATTCGGTAAATGAATGTAACAGTGTCACAGGATACAAGGTTAATATAAAAAAACAATTTTATGTCTGTGTACTAGCAATAAACAATTATAAAATGAATTTTAAAAATCCATTTTCAATAATCAAAAACAATGTTTACTTTTATACATTAAAATATATATTTAACAAAAGATGCTGAAAGATGTGTGAGAGGCATGGTGGGACAGTAGAACAGAGAATATTTCATAATAGCACAGATTAGCAATTCTGAAACTACATTCAGAGCATTCTAAGTTTGAAAAATGAGTAAATACATATGGGGTGCTATGCTTTTCATTAATACAGAAAGAAATAATATTAAAAAAAATTAGAGAGTACCCACTAATGCAACATTGCCAAATCAAAACAGCAGTGTGAACTCAAGGTACATTTAGCTCTCTAGACAAATAAAGAAATAAGTAGATATGCAGGTTTGCATGCAAGGACTTAGAAGCAATGAGACACCAGCAACAATGAAAATAACTAGCTCCTAGGTCTTGGTTTCTAAAAGCAACTAGGGTCTTTGGGAAAAGGAATAGTGTGCAGGATATGTTCAAGATGAGCCGCTCAATAAGGCAATAAAATAAGAAATGCTGAAAATATGATGACAACATATCCATAGGACACAGGAGTCAATCTAAGTTTTCACTGGCCAAATCTGGGACAATTTGAGCATTAAAATGATAGTAATGGCCATGCACAGTGGAGCATGCCTGTAATACCAGTGGCTCAGGAGGCTGAGACGGGTGAATTTCGAGTTCAAAAGCCAGCTTCAGCAAAAGCAAGGTGCTAAATAAGCAACTCAGTGAGACCCTGTCTCTAAATAAAATGCAAAATAGGGCTAGGGATGTGGCTCAGTGGTTGAGAGCCCCTGAGTTCAATCCCTGGTACCCTCACCCCCACAAAAAGACAGTAATGGATAATTCATAAAATTCTCTGGGTCTATACCAATATAGTAAATAAATAAATATAAATAAATGGAGAAAAAGCTCTTTTAGTAGAATGCCAGCTAGTAAACTTCGAAGGAAAGATTGAGTTAGACTCATAAATAGTTCTTTTAAAAACAAATTACTGCTATTATTATCATTTTTGTGGTTTGGGGGAAATCTTACATAGGGCCTTGTGCATGCTAAGCAATCTCCAGCCCCTTATTAATGGAACTTAAACCTACTAGGCAGTTTCATGAGAGACAAGATATTTATTGTCTCAAAAAAAAAAAATTACAAGGAAAAATAATTAAAAGGAAAAATAATCAGTTTTGCTATACTTATTGTATAAAATATACAATTTTATTTGTATATTAATAATTTAATGTGTAACAAATTTGTTCTAAGCAACTGATATTAGGAGACAATTTGAGTACTATATGAAATTCACATTTACTTACATGCAATTTCATACACAAAGAAACAAAAGGTTATTTGCAAGTGAATGCAGAAAACTGCATCCCACTGAACCAAGTGTCCTATATCTTGTATTACATAACTGAACACACATTCACACCCCTTCAAACATCAACAAGCCACCTCAGTTCAACATGTTTTAAGCCATACCCACCTATATTTGCAGTTACAATTTTTCATCCAATTTCAGATAACCAGTTTAAAATTGTTTTAGTCACTATTAACTCACAAGTTGCACAGTTCTAAGGCTCAGGTCTTTTTCAAAACGAAGCATCCTACTTATGTTATTTGTATATTAATAATTTAACATGTAAAACTGTGCTACCATTTTTACTAGGTTCATTTTTTTAAATCCATCATGAAAAATTTCGAAAACTGTATCCTAACCCTTTCCCTTCCATAAGCCCTGTGGGATTTTACTGCACATTCTGCACAGCAAAGTGACTTTTATTTATTTATTTTTTTGGTACCAGGGATTGAACCGAGGGGTGCTTAACCACTGAGCTACATACCAGAACTTTTTATTTTTAGACAGGTTTCACTAGGTGGCTTAGAGCCTTACTAAACTGTTGAGGCTGGTTTCAAACCTGCAATCCTCCTGCCTCAGGTACCCAAGCCATTGGGATTACAGGTATGTGCCACTGAACCCAGCTAACACCGTGATTTTAAAAAATGTATATCTTGTATTGTAACACAACTGACTGTACTTTGCAATGGAGAAACAATAAAACAAACAGGGCAAAATATAAATAGTCAATCTGGAAAACGGGAATACAAAAATTCTATCTACTACTCTTATAGCTTTTCTGTAAGTCTAAAATCATCAAAATAAAAATTATTTTAAAAATCAATAAAGGAGTGGAAGTAAAATGAAAGAATATTGGCTGTGAGTTAATCTATCATTAATGATAGTATATAAAATTCATAAAGTTTTGAAAAATCTATTCTTTTAATGGTTATTTTAAATAAAACTGAATAACACAGTGAGAAAGTAATTTTATTTTCAATTCTATTTCAATATTTCTAATTATATCAACGAGAAAGCTGTAGTTGTCAACATGTCCTTAATTCCCTGTTACCTCTTTTTAAACATATTACATGCTTTCAGCAAGCACCAGTACAGGTCTAGAATTTACTAATATTGTTTTTATTTTCTTACTGTTGTACAAAACATTTGGTTTCTAATTTGATAGTGATATACTTTCTTTTAGAATACTTTGTTTGGATAACAAATATTCAGGTGACTTTAAGAAAAACAGTAACTGATATTATAGGCAGGACCCAGACTTTGTAGAACTTGTGAAGGTAGCACATGATAGTATGGAGAAATGGAAAAAATTGTGACTACTGTTTGTAAATTACTGAGGGATGAGAAATGGTACTCTAGTAGATATAATTACAGGATAAAGTTATACAGAATAAACTTCACAATTTAACATACACACAAAAAATTATATGTATGAGAAAGTTCTGGTCCTACCTGATAAGTAGCTATGGAAAGATAATTGTTATAAGCACAAGGGAAAAAAAAAGTTCTGGCTAGGGATATAGAGGGTGTGCCTAGTATTCTCACAGTATTAGAACATAGTTCAAATCCTCAGTGTACAGGCAACATAAACTTTTGACACAAGACACTCAGTGCAAGCTAAGTTGGTCATCTAATTAAACCTGATTATATGACTTTACAGTATACCATGTCTTACAGATATATAACTCTAATAACTGGCTCTTTCAGTGCACTCTGATGTAAGATCAAGAATTCTATAGTCAGGCTTGAAACAGTTTTAACATACATAGATGTTCAATAATTTGGAAGCCATTTTATAATTTTATATATGTATATAAAACATAAACAAACACACACACACACACACACACATATACACACACATACACATTTTTAAATCCATTTACCTTTATGTTCATTCTCTGCCAACTACTGAACCAGAAGTAGGGCAATATGATAAAAGCCAAAGAAAGTTAAGGATTCTTTCCAAGCATTTGTATACCACAGATACAGGGGACCGCTTGAGCTGATCTAGGGTACTGTCCTCACTTAAATTAACAAAGGTTTAAACAAGACCAAAAAAGATAATCTAAACCAAGCTTTACAAGCATTTTACTTTATTTTATTTTTTGATGTAACAACATTTTAAAGTAGCTTTTATTGATAAGAATTTGCCTAACAAGCATTTTAAAAAAAGAGAAAGTACATAAAAAAGGGAAATTAAATCTTACTGATAATAACAATATACAGTTGATAATATATAAGCTGTAAAACAAAATCATATGTACCTAACTATATAATATATAATACAGCATATAAATGTAAAAATATTGATTTTGCCTTCAAAGAAAGACTGACTTTATCTAAATACATGCTCAAAAATGGATGACCAAAACCTAAGGCCCATCATTGTTTCTCTTTGAATCTGACAGAATTACTTTTCAAACTAATTTCAAAATATGTTACAGGTGAAATTATGTGYTGTTTGCCTTTTATAAAACAAATTTATTGGGATGGGGGTATAACTCAAGTGTGGTAGAGCATTTGCCTAGCATGTGTAAGATCCTGGGTTTGATCCTCAGTATCACAAAAAACAAATCAATAAAACAAAAAGTCAAACTTATCACTTATAATGACAAAAAAAGGAAACAAATTAGCAAAACTTAGTAATTTTACACAAAACTCCTAGCAAAAAAAAGTAGCTACTACTTTTTGCTCTATAATTAAATATTATAGCACTGAAAGATAAATGTTACATGTGCTACACTGGTTAGTACTTACCTCTCTGAGGAAAACCTCCATATCTTCTTGACTTTCAAACACAAAGGCTCTCAAGTCATTTGATGGAATATGATTTTCAATATATTTGGCATTTTTATTGTCTTTCATATTGATCTAAACAAAATAAAAAGAAAAAAGCTGATTTTCATGGAACCCCTTGATTATTAGAACATATTTATATTGAATATCTTTATTTACTCAGATTCATACTTGAGAAAAGAAAGACAAGAAAAAATGACTGGGTACAGAACAGTCTTTTAAAAAATCTAGTCTGTTACCAAGAAACAATCAATACATACTTAAACAAAAGCCAAGATTTAAATAGTACCTAATGCATATTAATTTTGATGCTATATAAGAGATAACTTTAGTTTTTTTCTGGTCAACTCATTGAAAACATTTGAAACAGTCTTAGATTATGACTTAAGAGTTGAAATATTTCTCTTTTCCCAAGCTTTTAATATTTTTCTTCTTAATCTTCAAGAGAACTTCAAATTATATATGGCAATAACTGATAGAGTAAAACTCTATGAAACTATTGGAAACCTAGGTTTACATCACCATAGCATAAACTTACAAACATCTTTAAAAATTAATTAACTAGGCATTTCTGCCATGTGTATTTCAATTTTATGGAAAATATTAAGATATGTCAGAGAAAACAAACTATCACAAGAAGAGTCCAGCCCTAAAATTTTCTATACATTCTATTCTATATCTTGTTTTAAAATTATCATGCCATAAATTTCCTCTTATGTTATTAATTAGAAACCTACAGCAGTATTTTTAATGGCTCAATAGTATTCCACTATAAAAAATAAAGTAATTTACTTTCACCCATCAGTATCTTCATAAATTTTCATCTTTTGCCTCATCTGTAAATGAACCCTTCTACACTTCTGTAACTCTACATTGGAATTATTAGAAATAAATTATGTAAATAGATTGCTAATTGGTGAGGTACATGACTAAGTCTGTATATTGCTATCTTGCCTATCAAGGTAGAAGCATTTCAAGCAGGCCTTGAAGACTTAAATAAGTATGTATGGGGACATTCAATGGAGGGAGGTGATATGTTATGAAAGGAGAAGGGTTACTCTATAAAGGAAGAAAAATCAGAGTATCTCTTTTCACTTCAAATATAGTTTAAAATATAAGTATATGCCAACTAGTAATATGATGTGATTAGAAAATCAAATGACAAGAGAATGAGAAATCTAATTAAGTTCTGAAATATTATTTTGAAGTCAACATTTTAATAAAAATCAGTTGATAATTATATTTGCATTATAAGATATCAAGGGTGACAATATTTTTCTCATATTTTCCTTCCAACCTAATCAGATAAATCAAAACAATGTCTACATTCAAAATAGAAATTCTCTTCTTGATCTGAATAAACTTTTCATGAATCCTGCAAAGACCTACAGTGAATTCTTTTTAAAATAAATTATCTAGCAAAATAATCCTTAAATCATTGTGGGGTAAGTTTTGAGCTTATATGTCAACGACTAAAATGTCATTATCAAAGAATGTAGTTTGTCACTTTCTCATTTTTTTTACATAAAACTGATCACTTTACAGTTCAGAAACTATTCTATTAAATTCATAGTCACAACTTATTACATATTTACTAAATATAGCTTTACCTGTTCTTAATGACCCACAATAATCAATAAAGGCAACAATATGTCAATAAACTACTTGCTTTATTCTCAAAATTCCCAGAATGTCCTTTTAAATAACAGCCAATTTCTTGCTCATCTTGTCACGTGTTCCTCATTAATGTTTTTATTTACACAGTAGTTTTCCAATTCTTCAGCAGGTTTAAATCTAAAACAAGCTATAATGTAATAACCAGCCTAACCAAGCTAAGTTTATACAGGATTCTTGGCCTGTAAGCTTCTAGTTTATACCTCTCACTAGAAAAAAGTTTGCAGGTTTTGTAATACTTGTTACTATTATAGATCAAGGGGCCTTTTATAAAGTTCATTTATGGATTTAGCCCAATACCAAAGATGCCAGAAGCCTGATAACAGAAAAAACAGTATGTTAACAGGACTAAAAATTCTTTAAAAAATTAACAAAAAAAATGCACAATGATTACAATAATAAAACTACAAGATGTCACTGAGATGAATAATTTTCTTACCGTAAGCATTATAGGCTCACAAACTCTTTGCTTAAATTTGTCTCTGTTATTTCTTAGCCACAAAACAGCATCATAAGTGTCCCGGTACCTCTGTCTCAGCTTATCTTCCTTTTGATTCATAAGATTGTCAAAACGTTGAATATGGTCATCCACATCTAAAATTGAAAAACAAAGTAGATTCTCTGAAAATTTTAATTAATGAAACAATCTATTAATAATTTCTGAGAGAAAAACGATTTTTAACAGAATAATTGCTAGGAGCCACAGCAAAAGTATTATGATACATGGCACCTTTGGTTTAGGTGACTGCCAGCTAGCCATTGAGATGATATGATTATGTTAAGCTTTACATTCATATGGAAATTGGACTCCTGCTGTTCGGGACTCATATTATGGGAGGTCCGCCCCCCCCCCATTCTGGTGGGAGACACACGTGTGTCGGGGGACTGGCGGCTTTTTTAAAAATAAAGCTTTGTTCCCGCTTGGGCGGCTTGTGTTTCTGTGCCCAGCCGGGTTGCGGCAAATAATCATACATACAACAAAATGAAGAAAAAGAAATAAAAAGAATTAAAAGATATTCTTAGAAATACAAAGAGTCTGGAATTAATTTCCAAATCTCTTCTTAGGAGGTTATCTGCAAATGTACTCTAACAAAGAAAGGGCATAAAAGATACACACACACACACACACACACACACACACACACACATAAAATAGAGGAATAGTCTTAGTCAACATAGAAAAGGTATGAAAGAAATCCCATATGATAAAATACTGATGGAGGCTTTGAGAATTACCAGTGTAGGTGGAAGCAGGATGAAATGTTACAGAATTCAAGGAAAGAAAAGATAGCACTCTCCCCTTTACTTAAGGAAATGCTAAAGAAAATGTTTTCTGTTTAAAAAAATAAAAAATAAAAAAAACATAAATTAGCTGGGCACAGTGGCACATGCCTGTTACCCAAATGACTGAGGAGGCTGAGGCAGAAGAATTGCAAATTTGAGGCCAGACCCAGCATTTTAGTGAAACCCTCAGCAGTTTATCAAGACATTATGTCAAAATAAAATAAAAAGTAAGGATAGGTTCGGCGCAGTGGCACACACCTGTAAACCCAGTGTCTAGGGAGGCTGAAGCAGGAGGAATGTGAGTTCAAAGACAGCCTCAGCAAAAAGTGAGGCTCTAAACAAGTCAGTGAGACCATGTCTCTAAATAAAATACAAAATAGGGCTGGGGATGTAGCTCAATGGTAGAATGTCCCTGAGTTCAATCCCTGGTACTCACCCACCCAACCTCAAAAGGAAGGGCTGGAGACAGCACTGTAATAAGTGCCCCTGTGTTTACTATCCAGTACCAAATAAAAAAAAGAAAGAAAAAAAATTCATAAAGGTAAATTAAAACCTTATAAAAAGTTATGAATTAAAGGAAATTTAGCCATCATATACTACTTGGCTTGGCTATGAACAAGTTTTACTATTGTACTAATCAATACTTGGTATTATAAACTTCCAGAATTAACCCATAGAACACATAAAACTTGATTATGGTTCTCAATAAAATAGATGTGTCAAACCTTGAAAATATAAAAATGGGAGTATAGATGACAGAGTTTTGAATGTGAGAAGCAAGGACAGGAGCACAGTGCTAGTATTTTAGATCACAAAATGTGTATGTAAACAATATGGACAATTGTTAAATGCCACAGAAAAAGGCATATTGCCAGGTGTAGTGGTATATGCCTATAACCCCAACAGTTTGGTAGGCATCAAATCACAAGTTCAAAGTTAGCATCAGCAATGGTGAGGCACCAAGCAACTCAGTGAGACCCTGTTTCTAAATAAAATCCAAAATAGGGCTGGGGATGTGGCTCAGTGGTCGAGGGCCTCGGAGTTCAACCCCAGTATCCAACCCCCAAAAAAGATAATCTGAGAAATTACAATAATTAGGGATGTATTATGAGCTAAAATCTACAAAATAACTATCAAAAAATGATGTCTAAAATTGATTAATCAAGTGATAATGAGATAAGAATATGGTGAATATATGAAGATGTCTATTACAAAAAACTGCAAGAGTTAAAAGTGCTTACTCTTGAGAGTGGATCTGGAGGTAGGAAAGGGGTTGCATCACCCTTTTCTTTTAGTTCTTTTTAACTATACACATCTAGAACTTTTAAAAGCATAAAAGTGTTTTTTATTTCCCCCCACTGGTATTAGTCATATACAGTGAACAGAAAGAATATAAGATCTCCATCCAAATAACGCTACCAATTTATCCACATGGTCTACAGGAAAGAAAAGCAAAGATGAAACTTGACAGGTTTGAACGACCAAAGCTAATGGTTATAAAGTGTAGGATAAAGAGCTTAAATTTGATCTGAGTAATATTAAGTTACTCAGTAAAGAAAATAAAGTTAAGCATTTTTAGAAAATTAATTCTATTGTTGTAATTGGACATAAAATAATGATCAACCAGAGGCAAATCATATATAAGACAAATATAGGTAATAGGGCACAAGTTGGAAGAACTAAGTTTGCTCAGCAAGGAAACTTGAACAGTTTAAAGAAATGAGTATCAGGGAAGAAGAAAGGCCATTATCAGAGATGAATCCCCATTTTAAGAAACTTACTCTTTTTCTCTTTCTCTAGAGTTTCCTTCTCTCTTCGTTTATCAATTATCTCGCCTTCACATAATGTCTTTTCATCTTGAACTCGTCTCAGATCATTTGTAATGGCATCAATCTGAGGCTGAAGATTCTCACAGTTTTCTGTGGTCTTTAATTCATTTTGCAAATCCTCTATCATTTTGCGGGTATTACTTATTCTCCTCTGTCTGTCTTGTTCTTCATTTTGTTTTACTGTTAGAGCCTGCTGAAGTTCCTCAATCTAATAAAACAAAAGTAGGTCAGTACCTAAGATTGCTTTTTCTCCTCATTTATAAGGCTTTCTTAATACTGAAGTTTTACATGAGGTTGAGGATATGACTCAGTGATAGAGCACTTGCTCACCATGCTGAGGCCCCAGGTCCCACCACTAGCACCACAAGAAAAAACAAAAAACACCAAACTAAGAATATAGTTTTTTTCCTCTCTACAAGGAATCCTACTAGAATTAGACTAGCAGATTGCCAGTTCTACCAGACTACCTATCTTGATTTGTTCACTAACATATCCCAAATACCAAGAATTGTACTTAGTATGAAATTACACACATAATAATTTAAACATAATGTAAATTACTTTTGCTGAATAAACAAAATAAAAAGCTAAATTTCTAAATAGTTAAAGTGAATATATACCATACATCATACAACCAAAATTGTTATGCTGTATAATATACAAGTTTCAATAAATAATACAAATGATTATAAGTCAATTATAATTTCAAACCACAATATTTTTTTTGAACAAAATTATTTTCTACCTATACTTCAAATTAATACTGTGAGATTTAAATTTTTTTTCTTTGTAGTACTGAGGATTGAACTCAAGGCCTCGCACATGCTAGAAGTACTCTACCACTGAATTGTATACATAGTTCTTGATGTTTTTTATTTTGAGAAAGGATCTCATCCTCCAAAATAATTGGGTCTACAGATGTGCACCATTATGTCTGGCTTTTAAATCAGTCTTTACACTTGAAGTTTTGGTTCATAATGTAAATTATTTTTTAAAAGCTAGACGCACAGGTTGCCACCTGACATCAAAGGAATTTTTTTTTATCTAAACCAAAGAGTTACCATTTTCTGTAAGACACACAAACAAATGTACACTTACATATCTAATTGATTTTTTTATAAGGAGAATTCTCTATTAAAATATTYAAGATTCATATATTACACCATCTATTATTAGTTGACTTTATTTCTAAATCACTTATTTCCTCATTTTCATTATAAAATCATTACAAAAATATGAAAAATATGAAAAATAGAGACTTTACAAATAAAAATCACTCAAAATATAAACAAACTTAAATTTTTACATTTTAATAACAACCTATAAATGTCATAAAACACATTTTTAAAATTAAAGGGCACCAATAAAAATTTACTGAGAGCAGTTTCTTAGTACCCATGTTCCTGCGAAATAAAATTTGAACACCTACATGATGTCCTGTTATATGGACATACTACACTTTATTATATTCCCTATTGTTGGAAATTTGGAATGATATAAATGTTTCCTTTCTAAAATCAATGCTGATCTATCATATTAATAGGTTAAAGAAAAAATTATACAATCATATCAATATATATAGCAAAGCATTTTTATCAAAAATGAAGATTAAAATTCTCAAACAGGGGCTTGAGATGTGGCTCAGCAGTAAAAGTGCTTGCCTGGTTTGCATGGGGCACTGTGTTCAAATCCCCACCATCAAAAATAAACAAATAAATAAAAATTCTCAAACAAAGGATTTTCTGAATCTGACAAAAAAAAGCATCTATAAAAAACTAAAAACTTAAAGCTAACGTACTTAATGGTGAAAAACTGAATGCTTTCATTCAAAGATCAAGAATGAGGATGTGGGGGAAGAAAAAAAATAATGAGGTAAGGATGTCCCCATTCACCACTCTTATTCAATACAGTGATAGGAGTTCTACTCTTGCAGTAAGTCAAGAAAAGGAAACAAATCAGAAAGAAGGCTATCCATACCTGCACATGACATGATGTAGAAAATCAAGAAATTTACCAGAGAGAGAGAGAAAAGAGACTAAGGTTTAAAAAAACAAAACACAAGATGACTTGTATGCTGAAAACTACACAATGCTGACAAAAGAAATCAAGGTCATTCTCCAACTATTTAATGCAATTCCTAATAAAAGTCCAGCAACATTTTTCTGTAGAGATAGAAAAGATTTGGATTTCATCAGAAATGGTGAACTTTTAAAATCCTCTCCTCCATAAAAGCAATGCATGCACAAGAACAAAAACTGTCACATTAACTTTTTTAGAATTCTGAAATTTAACCAAATGCTTGTAGCAATCCAGAAGTATTTACTTAAGAAAATGTTTGAGTCTCCATAACAGGAAGCTTTGTGGAATTTTACACATGTCCTATTCTCAAACCCCTCTCCCTATTTCTGTGATAGTCTTAAAAACCAACAGCCTAAAACCACACTGAAAACTAGCAGCATTAAAGACAATAGAAAGGTGTGAATAAGTTAAGAACTCTTAAATCTTCATTCTCATAGAAATGTCATTTTCTGCTCTGTATGGCAGCTTCCCAGAAAAACTGATTTGGCAAGACTTGTCTTCATTGACCCAACTCAGTTCACTCACTACAATCTTAAATTTCCCCTGAACACATTTGTCAAAAACAATCAGCAGGAATCATTTATCATCAGAGCTGTCTGAAGAGGGATAATAACAGTTGCAGCAGACAATAAGCTCAACAAAAATCTTCAAAGGAAAAACTGGGGTATGAGATGTCTAATCAAAGTTTTGGATGCTTCTGGGAATCCAAAGGCCATGTATATGAGTAGAACTATACATGCTCTAAAAGACCTGAGAAGGCCCTAAGCTCTCACCTGTTTCACCTTGAGGCTCTGTGCAATTCGAAAATAAAGTCAGGGACAGAGCTGGGACTAGCAGTGAAAATTAGCCAAAATTTAACAATCTAAGGAACATTCATTCAAACAAAATGACTAGATTTCAATGACAAATAAGGGCAATGCCCAGCTTGGGAACCACTAAGTTAAATGAGCACTGGCTTTGGTAGTCACATATGATGAAGAATACAAACTTCAAAGAATCAGGAAATCACTAAAACATAAAGAATATCAAGGCTTGGGACTGGGAAGGAGAGATGATTGTAAGAGTTGCTACACTGTTATTGAAACGGACTAGTTTTAACCAAAAAATTTTAACACAAACAAATAAGAAAATATGGTCTACATTCTGGGGAAAAAAGTGAACAGAAAAGTTCCTGAGTATTATGGTTCAGATATGAGATCTCCTCAAAAAGCTCATGAGGTAATGCAAGAATGCACAGAGATAAAGTGATTAGATATGAGCTGTGATCTAATCAAGGGATTAATCTATTCAATGGATTACTAGATGGTAACTGTAGACAAATGGGTGTGGCTAGAGGAAACAGGTAACTGGGGAAATGCCCTTGGGGATTATATTTTGTCCCTAGCTTCTCAGGCTCTCTGATTCCCAGCAGTCACGAGTTGAGCAGCTTTCCTCTGCTGCATCCTTACCTGACAATAACCTGCACAAAGGAATCAAGAGCACTGGTAAAGGTAATTACATGGGTAAAAGTAAGAGGACAGTATAAGTGTATTTTGTAGTTTGTAACTCTTTTTTTCCCTTCTACCTGATATGAAAGACAACTGCTATAATATTTTTATATACACACACACACACACACACACATATATATATATGTAGCAAAATACAATAAATATAATTATGAGGAGAATATATCAGCCTACAGAATGGGAAAAATTCTTGGCCAGCTACTCCTCCAATAGGGGGTTAATATCCAGAATATGCAAAGAACTCAAAAAACTTAAACACTAAAAAGAAACAACCCAATCAATAAATGGGCAAAAAAAAACTAAACAGAAACTTCTCAAAAGAAAAAACACAAATGACCAACAAATATATAGGAAAAAAATGCTCAATATCTCTAGCAATCAGGGAAATGCAAACAAAACTACACTAAGATTTCATCTCATTCCATTCAGAATGGCAATTATCAAGAACACAAACAACAATAAATGCTGTTGAGGTCATGGGGGGGGGAGGCACACTTGTGAGGCTGTAGACTACTGGTACAACCACTTTGGAAAGCAGTATGGAGGGCTGGAGATGTGGCTCAGCGGTAGCGCGCTCGCCTGGCATGCGTGCGGCCCGGGTTCGATCCTCAGCACCACATACCAACAAAGATGTTGTGTCCGCCGAGAACTAAAAAATAAATATTAAAAAAATTCTCTCTCTCTCTCTCTCTCTCTCTCTCTCTCCTCTCTCACTCTCTCTTTAAAAAAAAAAAAAAAGAAAAAGAAAGCAGTATGGAGTTTCCTCAAAAAACTAGGGATGAAACCAGCWTATAATCCAGTTATCCTACTCCTTGGTATTTTCCCCAAAGATCTACAATCAGCATACCATAGTGATACAGGTATCTCAATTTTTACAGCAGCACAATTCACAATAGCTGAATATAGAATCAACTCAGATGCCCATCAATAAATGAATGGATTAAGAAATTGGTTATATATATACAATAGATTTCCACTCAGCCATAAAAAAGAGCAAAATATGGCATTTGCCAGTAAATGGAGAATATCATGCTAAGTGAAATTAGCCAAACTCAGAAACTCAAAGGTCTAATGTTTTCTCTCATACGCCAAAGCCAGAGTAAAATAGAGGAAAGGCAGATGGAGGGATTGGGTAACAAAGGGAAGATCAGTAATATAGAAAGAAGAGATGTAGAGGCAGAGAGAGAAATAGGTATGGGGGGCAATGCAGAATGAATTCTTAAAAAATTATGTTATCTGCATATATAAAAATACCACAAGGAACTTCACCTTTATGCATAGATAGGAGGAACTAATTGAATATAAATAAATAGATGAGTTAAAGAAAGTCTAGTAGAGAAAGGAGAATAGGAGAGGAAAGTTGGAAAAAAAAGGTAAAGATAAAAGGGAGGGATCATGAACTAAAATCAAATTCCATGCACGTCTGAGTCTGTCAGGATGAACCCAACTACTATGTATGACTATAAAGCCCTAATTTTAAAAATGGATATATCAAGTAAGTAAAAAAGTACGTAGACCATTTGAATAATATCGCAGAAAGCCTACTCATATATGTGTATATATACATGTATCTCCACAACCAAAGATAGAAAGCAAATTCTTCTCAAATATATTTGGAGCATGTATAAAAGTCAAATATAAAATAAAAGCCCAAAAGATGTGTCAAAAAATTCTAAAGTCGCCAGGTATGGCAGCATATGCCTGCAATCCTAGCAGCTCTGGAGGCTCAGACAGGAGGATCAAAGCCAGCCTCAGCAACTTAGTGAGGCCCTACGCAACTCAGTGAGACCCTGTCTCTAAATAAAATACAAAATAGGGCTGGGGATATGGCTCAGTGGTTGAGTACCCTTGAGTATAAAGGAGTATAACTAGAACTCCAATTAGAAAAAAAAAGAAAAGAAAGAAAAAGAAAGCTTAAAATTCCTTATATGAAGGGTTAAGGATGTAGCTCAATGTTACCATTTGTTAGCCTGTGCTAACAAATGTCAGGTCCTGGGTTCAATCCCCAGTGCCTTCCAAAAAACCACAAAACCGAACAAACAAAAAAGCCCTATCTGTAAAAACTAATATAATAAGAACGTCAAAGTAAGCTCATCTGAATAAAAATATTTTATGAAAATTATAAAATCTAAAACTAAAAGAAAATATCAGTATATGTGAGATATAGTCAAATGAGTAGTTCTGAGGAATTTTACAATTATTTTCCGCTCAACTACTATGCTTCCAAATCTGTTTTCCTCAGATTAACGTAAGAAATCTTAAATTTCCTTTACAGATTAACATAAGAAATAGAGATTGAGGAGGATCCTGGACAACTCCCAAACAAGAATCTGACTCTAGTCCTGGAGCACACCTGTGATCCCAGCAACTGGACTTAAGAAGCTGAGGCAGAAGGCTCGTGACCAGCTTAGGCAATTTAGCGAGATCCTGCCTCAAAATAAGGATGTAGCAAAGTAGTAGAGCATTCCTGGATTCAATTCTCAGTTCTACACTGGAAGGAAGGAAAGAAAGAAGGGAGGAAGGAAGGAAAGGAAGAAAAAAAAAAATCAAGGAAAAGTTTGACTCATTATCCAGATCTGAACATAAAATTAAGGGCAAATTAAGGAAATAACAATTTCAACAGGATATCTTACATGTTTATCTTTCCTTTCTATAACATCTTGTTTCTGTTTGCATTTTTGAGATGTCTCTTTAATGTCTGTTGCCTGTAAGAACCAGGAGGGGAAAAGGTAATTAAAAACTCAAATCAGCATGTGGCTCTACCCATCCAAATAATGTTATATGAGTTAACTCACAACAGTACTTTCTCAATACATTTCTCAATTTATTTATTTCAAATTCATAATATCACAACATATATAAACAGTGTAGAAATCTACAAAAGGTTATTCCAAACAATATTAAAAATAGCTAGAGAATATGCATACATATCTRTCAGGCCAGATACAGTGGTACACACTGGTAATCCCAGCTACTTGGGACGCGGAAGAAGAATGATAAAAATTGAGCGCAAAGCTATCTTCAAATAAAAGGGTTGGGAATGTAGCTCAGTGGTAGAGCACTTGCCTAGCATGTGTGAGAAAAAAATGTAGACTGATTTAATGTGCCACCTCAGAATCCAAGAGCACTTCTTCAGAAAAATAATTTTAAAACATTAGGCTATATAGATTTCTACAAAAACAAATTAGGCAAAGAGATAATGACAATGTCTCAATAGCTAGGCTTCTGTTATAAAAGATAAGTGAAACAAGGGTTTTAAATATGATACTTTAGAGACTTGGAATTTACTGTCCACGTTTTTTTCACTATAGAAAAAAATTTAGTAGAAACATCAATTCTGGAACCAAAACAAAACAAAACAAAACAAAAAAAAAAAAAAAAAAAAACCAAACAATTATAAACCCAAGTCTATGGTTTAGATGTGGAATGTCTCCCAAAAGCTCATGTGTTCAAGACTTGATCCCCAAAACAGTAATGTCCAGTGGGGCTTTTAGGAAGTGATTGGATCATAAGAACTATATAATTTCATCAGTAAATTAATCCATTTGATAGGTTAATATTATGAATGAACTACTGGGAGGAGGTAGAAACTTAGGCAGGTAGGGCATGGTTGAAAGTAAATTACTGAGGGATGTGCCCTGGGACCATAGCTTATCTGTGGGCCTTTCCTTGCTCTCCACCTCTCTCTATGGTTCTTTGCTGTCAAAAGTTGAGTGGCTTTCCTTAGTCATACCCTCTTCTGCCATGATGTTCTCTCACCTCTGGCCAAAGGCAAAGAAACAGGCCAACCATGGACTGAAATCTCCAAAATTGTGGGTCAAAATAAATCTTTTCTCCTCCAAGTTGTTTTGTGTCATGTATTTTGGTCACAGTGACAAAAAGCTGATTAATACACACACCCTAACTATAACCAATCACCACGAACATGATACTGACTGATATTTATTAGTTCTAAATTCTTTAAGAAGACATGTTATCTTTGAGATTTAGTATCCTTAACTATGAAGTGAGAATATTTTTCTAGATAAAAGTATCTATAATCCTTTCTTGCTCTCAAATTTGAAATGATCAATAGGGTTCAGTACTATTTGCACTTTCAGGCATTCAAAGTGAAGTCTTGGAACATATACCCCCTGAGACAAGGGAAGATTAATACATTTGGAAAGCAGAAATTTAAACCATTCTCAAAATAATCTCTGACCCCAAAGTTCCTTTAAAGGTTAAAAGTCATGACCATAAAGGTTATACCTTTAAAACACCAGTAATGACTATATTATTTACTCCAACAAATAACAGATTTTCTGTATCATTTTCCTCCAAAAGGGTATATAATTACAAAGCAGAGATAACAAATTCACAAAAGGAGTTCAATGTTTCTAGAAATACTATTATAAATCATTTTGTAATTAAAACAATCAGATTTTATTTTTCTCTCTTTATATCTTGGAATTTCTATAAAGTAGCAATCTTTCAACAGTAACAAGCTCTTGAAAGCCCTATAGTAACTCCTAGTTAAAAAAACAAAGTAATAAAAATTACAAGTAAATTAAAAATATTTTGAAATAGCTGAAAATAATATTTGCTAAAATAAAATTCAGATAATGCAAAACTGAATAAGCAAAGTACCTTTTCTTTGATTAGAGCCTCCAAATTATGGCGTTGCCTTTCAATTTCCTCAATCCGACGTGTCATAGGAATCTGCCCTTCTTTAAGTTTTCTGACCTCTTCCTTCATTTGGTCACGGACTAGTTTTACTTCTTCATATTCCTGACGAACATTTTCATATTCCTTGCAAATAATTCAAGAAATAAAGTTAATGCACTAATCAGCTTAAACCAATACATATTCTAAAATCAAGGTACAGGCAGGAAAAAAAAATCTAAAAAATATTTTGTCACTAAAATAAGATTTTCCTCTAATCTCTCAGGTAAGAAAGGATTTATCAATATATWAAGAAACAAAAGAAACAATTCTGAAAGGTAAAAATGAAAGAAAATTACAAAAGGAAAATAGGTCAAAGAAAAATGAAAAGAAGCATGTTGCTAGCTAGTTGGGTAAAAATGACACTCTTCATGTCACAAGAATTAATAAATATTTGGTGAGTAAAATTTATAAGTGGAGGGCTAATACAGTATATACAGAAGAACACAAATATTCATTAGAGTAAATAAAAAAAGAAGAAAATTTTTAAAAAGACTGGGGAAACTAAGACTTCAGAAGATAATGTCAGTGAAAGAAAAATGAGAGACACAGGGGAAAATGCAGTCAAGAAGAGGAAAATAAAGGAAAAAAATTAAGAATAATGGAATTATGAAATGCAGGGGAGTGACACCACAAATACAATGATATTATTGTTTATAATCTAAGTCACTTCTTTTGAGGGGTGGGGTGCATACCAGGGATTGAACCCAAAAGTGCTTAACCACTAAGTCACATCTCCAGCTTTTATTTACATTTTATTTTGAAACGGTCTAACTAAATTGCTTAGGGCCTCTCTAAATTGTTGAGATTGGCTTTGAACTTGCAATCTTCCTGCTTCAACCTCCCAAACCACTGGTATTACAGGTGTACACCACCACATGCAGCTCACTTTTTAAAAAATCTAATATTATTTCCAATCTAACTTCTGAAAAAATACTAGGAAACTTTCCTTACTTATTTTGTTCCACCTATGGAGGAACATTAATCTTTAGCCCATAATGTAGACTTAGGTATGAAATATATCACACTGTGATTAGAAAAAACACAGTAGCTTCAGGAAAATTATGAAACATGAGTAGAGAACTTTAGTTAAGATATTTCAGCTACATTTGTAGCTGAATTTTTTATCAGTGGCATATCTCAAGTAAGTTCTTAATGACCTAAAAACATTCAAAGATTTAATGTTTTGACATACATAAATCTTTTTAGATCTAACATTTTGAAAATATCAAAGAACTAGCTTTAATGAACCAAAATCTGAAAGAATTAATACTGACTCAACTGACATTTGTTATAAAACAACTAGCACACATCTATATTATAAAGAGTAAGAGAGGTATAAATTGTAATATGTATACTATATAAAGCAAAAAATAATTTGAACACATAATTAATGCATTCTTTATAACTATTCCACTACTTAAAGATTGACCTATTTTGCCTCTGTAATAATTAAGACTTACCACCCATGGCCGTTTTGCTTCAAGCATCTCAATTAAATCTAAGTGTCGTTTCCTTTCATAGAACCTCTCGACATCTTGTTTGTATCTTTCATTCCTCTGAACCATTTTCTCTAGATATTCAGTTTTTTCTTTGCAAGAAGTCTAAAATAAATTTGTTGAACAATCAGTTTAAATGAAAAAAAATGACAACAGGTCAAATTTTTTAACAATGAAAAATAATGCCAGCAAAATTTCACAATAAAGAATTTTGCAGGCACTTTGTAAGAGCTGTCTCATCTACTTCAGGGGTAGAAACAATTCACTTAATACATGTTTGAGTATTCCTTATACAAAATGATTGGAGCCAGAAGTGTTTGATTTCATAATTTTCAGATTTTGAAATATCTGCATAGATGTTACCAATTAAGCATCGCTAATCCCAAAACCCAAAATTCAATACTCCAAAATCTGAAGTTTTCTGAGAACCAATATGACACTCAAAAAGCCTTGAATTTGCAGCATTCAAATTTTGGATTAGGGATGCTCAAACTATCAGCTTTATACTGTGAATTAACAAATACAAAGATGCACTCAGAACAAGGTAGAATATATGATCATTTTTCTCTCAAAAGATGGTAAGTTAGAGGAGTATTTCAGGTGGGAGTAGTAGATTGATATGAAAAAAGGTAAAAGAATTGAAGGAGTATCTCAAGTAGGATAAAATAATTATAAAAAGTTCAAAACAGCTCCTTTGGTCATTCCCTCTTAATTTGTGCAAAAAAAATAGCATTTTACTACAATAAATACATATTACCAAGTACAGACTATATATTTGAACAGAAAGTGTCTGTTTATAAGAGTTCTCATTATGAAAATGTATTTATTTATTTTAGATGAAGGGATATGGCTAAAGATCTATTAAATAAAATACCTTTACAAATATTATGCCATAAAGGATATTTTTATTTATAAATTTCTTAAAGATGAAAATACTTAACACTGCAACTAAATGTTTAGTTCTCTTAAAATACAGAGAAAGCTGGTTCGACAGAGGTGTTATATTAAATACAACATTTACATTTGCTGTATTACCTAAAAACTTTCATGGTTCCTGACACATGGAAGATATTTAGTAGGTACTGACTCAATGACAAAATATCACGATTTCCTGAGGGAAAAATCCAAAATGGTGCTACTGGTTTCTTAAAAACTCAATTAATAACAAGTATTGCTGTTAAATTTTTCAAACTTTTATTCCTAAATGAAAATACATCTTAGACTGTTATCAAATTAATATTTAAGTGTGTTTTGTCAGCAGAGAGTAAATACTCAGAACACATTAATGTTTGGACAACAGCTTGAATGAAAACAAGTCTTCAAATTGTCAAACTTTACAATAACAAATCCATTCTCCTTTTTTGTCATTTAACTGATGTCATTATCCTGGGTTAAAAAAAAATCACAAATATGAATTCAATTAATGAACAGAACTATTACTTACTCTTCATAGAAATCAATAAGGGACAACAGACATGAGTTGTATATTTATAAATACCTCCAGCTGTTTTTCTTTCTCCCTGAAGTTTTTGAGTTCACAGTGATACCTGTGCATTTCTGGAGGACCAATTGACTTCTCAGTAGCTTCAAGCAGTTCTATTTTGCTGAGTTTTGCAAATTCTCCTACTTTGTCCTAGAGCATAAACATTAAATATCAGCAACTTGATAATTTATAAGTATCTTTAAAATGTGTTTTATTCAGTGATTACACTTAAAACTTTGAGATATGAGTCTCATATAAACACGTTACATATTATTCTTTAATAAAGACAACACAGCAGAAATGATCATCTTTTTGGTAACTTTTAAAACATTTCTATGTCAATAATTTATAGGTTGAAATTACATGGATCATAAACAGATTATGGATAAAAGAGAAAATAGTCTCCTGGACTGAAGTGATCACTATTCACATATCAGGTGGAATGTTCTAAGTTTAAAAAAAAAAAAAAGGCAATTTCAAATATCTACTTTTGAGACAGTCTGACATGAGCTGATAAATGAAAAAAACTTTCAGATTTTTATGTTTTTACTTAAGTTGGACTAATTTAATTAAACCATTATGTTTCTGAAGAAAATGAATAATGCTGTCACTAAACAGCATTCAAAGACAAATGTAAAAGGTATTTAACATCCATTATCAGGATTTTTAATTCTTAAATAAATTTAATATATAACAAGATTTTAGAAGGTACACATACAAGAGTTTTAGTATATTCAATATTTTATACAAACACCTTGATTAAAAAGCTGTTTACTGACAAAATTTAGGTTCTACAAATGAAACACAAAGCTACTGAAACTACTCTGTACTTAAAAATAATACACTTAAACTAAAGTGACTGAGCAACTGAGATGTTTTTTATTAACTGAAATTAATAACATTATACTATAAGTGGTAAGAGTTCTTTCACAAAGAACTATTAGTATTAAAAGTACTATGTGTTCAATGTAAATGATAATCATTATAATATCTCTTGGAAAATATTTCTATTCTCATATGGCATAAGAATAAATTCTAGAAACAAAACTTCCCCATTTTTACATTTACTTCTACCATACCTGAGGTAGAAACTGGCAAAGATTGCCCACTTGAATATTTAAGGCTGCAACTTGTTCTTCAACCACTTTCTGGGTTGTAGATTTTTTGTTGATGAACCAAAAGGACTGATTTTTTGCCACATCAATCTCACGGGTGATTATAAGATTTCCAGAAGTCCTGAACCTGATTAAAGAATAATTTTTAAATATTTATTATCAAAATACATTATTTAAGAAATAAAATTTCCGACACTCTTGTTCACCAAAGGTACCATAAAGGATTATTATGATTTTTTATTCCTTCTGATATTTTGACCCCTCCCAATAAGGAAATCTTGACATTTTATTAGTAGTAAAACCATAACTGGCCACGTGTCAATWACTACTTATTCAACAATTTAAATTTTTAGCAAAACAAAATTAAAATTCAATATTAATTCACAAACACTACCAGAGGAGTTGCATATCTAGAGTTATTTATCCTTTAAAAATAGTTATGCTATTCTTTTATCACATGCATTGACTGCATTTCAAAATGGGCCAATATATATAAAAGCATAACACTTAAACCTTGATATATTCCCTAGTTGGAAAATGTTAAAAATGAATACTGACTCTTACATGAGCATTTCTAGAAATCAAAATTAGCCTGCCCATACAGGTAGCTCATGGCTTCTTCACCATGTACTCTTCTTTGAATTCAGAGGGAATTATATTACATGGCTACAAAGAACATTAAGCAACACAGAATCGGAAAGAAGGGTATTTACTTATTTCTTGCTTTTAGAAGTACTACTGCTCCACACCTCCCATCTATTCATCCATCTTCTTCACTGGGAATCAGCAGCATGTGGTAAAAAGATAAATTATTGGTATCTAATGGCTAAATGATAATAATTTATAAATGTTRTCTATATAGAATAGATTATAATCAGAATACTTCAAACACTAAAATTTTAGAACTTCAAAAATACTAATTTTAAATCTTCATTTCCAGCAGAATGTCTAATGAAGTACCCTTACTGATTTTCCTACTATAAACAACTAAAAGAATGAATAAACTATCTTCATAAATGCATTTATCAGATAGCATGAAAGTAAGGAGTTCTGGCCAAGATATTAAAGCAAATGGAAAACCAGAGTGAAAAAATGAAACTGATCTTCACCTTGAGGGCAACTACCCAACTAGGTGACCGTGAGGGTTTATTTGCATGATCTCCTGGCAGAGGGACTGCAGACAAAGTGCAAAGCTACCCAATGTGCAGAGTGTTATAGAAAACCACCCCCAAGAAGCTACCCTTCCTCAGTAGAAGGATAAACAACTTCTTCATCCCCACCAACACCACCAGTAGGGACAGCAAAGCAAAACTGCCTGTCTCATCTATGGCTTGATCCAAGAAACAAACAAAAGGTCTCCCTGAGAATCACTAGCCACAAGTTATCCTCAAACATGTTTATGTTTGTATCTTTAAGTTACATAATCTACCTTCAAAGTTCAAAACCTCTTGAGCTGAGAATTCAATATAATATGATCCTGGATTGAAAGCATAAAATGCTCTCTGGTAAAAATTCCTTCTGTAGGAATTTACTTCATCCTCAAAGAATTAGCACAGCTCACTGGAAACACAGACACAAGAAAACAAAGCACCAAGAACAAGCAGAATTATAGAAAGCAAAATCATAAAGATGAAAAATATAAAAGATGTATAAGATATATAAGAGATACAGATGACTAAGAAAATCTAATGATCTGATAAAATTTCTAAAGGATGGGCAAAGAAAATGGGTCAGTGGCAATATGTGAAGAGATAAGAACTTTCCAAAACTGAAGTAAGACACAAAGCCATAGATTTAAGAAACTTGTCAGGTGTGGTAGTGTTAGGTAATAGCTAGCAATGAGCTGTAACATGTATGTCAAGGTCACAGGTTTACTTTAAGTTATTCTTAAAAGTTTTCAATAAGTTACTGCCAAGACAGATGAGTAAATATTTTGTTGCACACAACCTGCAGAAAAACATTAGTACACAAATCTTGAGAACAAACAGATAAAAGTAAAAGAGCTACAATGGGGATTGGAGAGCTCAAGAAAGAAGGATTTAAGGGACTAACTCTCAACAGGGTCAAGATAAAACTAAGTTATGGTGCCAAATGTCTCCTACTAGTTCAGAAGTGTGGGGGGGGGGAGTGCGGATGGTGGGGTGGGAAGTTTCTTTAGTGGACACAGGTGCACTGAGGTAACTTCTGACCAGCTGTTGACCCACCTGATGTGAAAGAGATGTTGAACACCTGATTGGCAAAGAGTACAAAAGTGTCACCAGTTCTGATAAACGCCAAACAGTAATAATTTGGTGACAGCATTGTCTATTTTGTCATTCTCTGTTTGAACCTTACTTTGTTTTCACTTTATTTTCACCTTCACTTCCATTCTATTGTCACTTATAATAAAGTTCTCTTGCATGGCTTTTGGTGTCTGACTTTAAATTTTTTTTTTGTGGGAACACAAGAACTGAGGTTTGGAGTTTTAGCTCCTTGCTTTCCTGTGACTGTGGCCAGCAACTCGGGAGGCTGAGGCAGGAGAATTTTAAGTTCCAGTCCAGCTTCAGCCAGGACCCTCAACAAAATAAAAAAATAAAAGGGCTGGATTATAGCTCAGTGGTTAAGCTCCCCTGGGTTCAATTCCTGATATCAAAAATAAATAAGTAGTACTCAACATGGCGGCGGGCAGGGAGGCAGCGCTTTCAGTACCTCCTCAGCCGCGTGGACAGAGAGATGCATATGAACGTTTAGATTCTACCTGCTGAGAAACTCCCAGCAAAATTCTGCTGAAGTGAGACCTGCTGGGGAATTTGGGATTATTGGAGGTGACAGCTTGCCCCAGACGGGTGAATTTTGGCCACGCGGCGTGGAGGTCTGGGCCGCTCCCTGCCTGGTGACCAGCACAGTAGGAGGCGGTTCAGCACTGCGCGGCGGAGAAACCCTATGAAGAGGTTGCTAACCAAGCCTTCATGAAAAAGCAAACCAGAACTGAATCCGAGACTGGGACAGACCAGAGACAGGCCAGACTCACCCCTCCCATCGGACACTCCGGCAAGGAGTCTGGGGCCCACCATAGCAGAGAGCTGACATCACCAGAGTTTGGCAGACAGGATCCCTTCCCAGCGGAATCGGCTTTAGCAGGTGTGTGACTCCCACCCCTACCAGATACACACAGGTGGGAAACATCAAAAATCTTGCCCCAGAGTTCCATGGGCTTGACTATACGGGCCTAGGGAAGCAGAGGGGACTCCTGACCCCCAACTCCCCCTACTGCCAGCGGCGTGGGTGTGACTGTAGGGGCCTAGGGAAGCAGAGGGGACTCCTGACCCCCAACTCCCCCTACCACCAGCGGTGATACCCAAGGCCTTAGCCGCCAGCTCCCAGGGGCATGGCCACCAAAGGGGTCCAGGCAAATTAAACTATCGGTTCCCAGATCACCGCTCCACAACCCTGGGGTCAGGATGAATGACAGAGAGAGTGCTCAGTAGTTCGGGAAATAGGGCACGCAGTGGGGCTGCAAGTGTAACCAGATCCTTGGAGATCGCCTCCAGTGAAAGGGGCCTGGCTGGCTGGCAGGAGGAAGGGGGGAGGGGCCGGAGAAGAAAAACAGCTCTGGATTAACAGGACTAGAGAGACGACCAGTAGGGGAAGGAGTCGCCTTATTGGGATTGCTGTCAGCAAATAGAGGGCGGAAGCTTGGCTCGGAGGGCACAGCTCCACCTACTGGAAGAGAAGAAAATAGATCTCTAAGACTTCATTTATCTTTTTTTTTCTTTCTTCCTTTTCCCTTTTCAATTTTTGTTGTTCTTTCCATTCTCCTCTATTCTACCTATTTTTCTCTCCCTCTTTCTCTTTAAGGACTCCTTCCTTCCCCTTCCCCCTAACTTTCATCCCAAGCATTAAGACTTTCATTACGTGTAATTTTCTAAATGCAAATAGGTGATTGTTTCGAGGCTGTCTACAGGGCTCCTAAATACCTAGCTATTACCAAATACCCTGATCCATTTGCCTGTTAATATCCCCCTTCAGTAGAGCAATATTCCAAAGTAGCCAAGACATACTAACCTTCATACCATCATGGCACCCAACCTAAACATAAAGTCCTAAGACCAAACAACAGATCACTATATACCTACAGAATCCGTAAGCCTTTTATGAATCAAGTGAATCAGCTTTAAATTACAATAAAGCCCAACATCTCTAAGCATAGTCTCCCACCACAAAGGAGAGACCACAGAGATATACAAAACCAAAACAAATTTATAGGAGAAAACAGAAACACAGCAGTTAAACAGAGTTGGAAAGTAACGTGAACACCATGAAAAAACAAGGGAAAAAAGGATTACAAACAATGCAGGACAACTTAAATTTACAGGAGAACCGAGAGGCATCAGAAAAATGGACAGAGAAAGAACTCAAGGCATACCAAATGGAATGAAATCTTAAAGAAGTCATTAGACAGCAAGTCCAAACAATGAAAGAATATTTTGAAAATGAATTGCATAAGCAGATTCAAGAAGCAAAAATGAACTCTACCACGAGATAGAGATTTAAAAAAAAATCAAACAGTAATCCTAGAAATACAGGAAACCATAAGCCAAATGAAAAACTCAAATGAGAATATTACAAATAGACTAGATCAAACAGAAGTCAGAACATCAGATAATGAAGATAAAGTTTATCAACTCGAAAAGAATATAGTCAACGCAGAAAGGCTGGAAGAAACCACGAGCAAAATATCCAAGATATGGGATAACATAAAAAAACCAAACTTAAGAGTCATTGGGATAGAAGAAGGTATAGAGATCCAAACCAAAGGATTGAACAATCTGTTGAATGAAATAATCTTAGAAAACTTTCCAGATATGAAAGATGGAATGGACTGCCAAATCCTGGAAGCCTACAGGACCCCAAACATACAAAACCATAAGAGACCAACTCCAAGACACATTATTATGAAGATATCCAACATACAGAACAAGGAGAGAATATTAAAAGCTACAAGAGAAAGTAGGCAGATTACATTCGGGGTAAACCAATTAGGTTAACGGCTGATTTTTTATCACAGACGTTGAAAGCGAGACAATCCTGGAACAACATATTTCAAACGCTGAAAAATAATGGATTCCAACCAAGAATACTGTATCC